GGAGTGACGCTATTAGAAAATAACCTAAATATGCACTCTTTCTCAAGAAATACACACTAAATAGGCACAGTCAATTGATGGTCATTCAATCAACTGAAATAAGCACGTAGTTGAACAAGTAGAGATATTCAAAGGCAAAATTATATTAATGTCACGACCCAAAATCTCACATGTTGTGATGGTGCCTATCGCAATACTAAGCAAGACGACAACTCACAAATAATCACGCATCTTTAATTTAGAACATACCGAAACAAGCTCAAATAGTGAAAATCTCATAATAACTGATAAGAAAATACTGCAACTCAATACAAAATCTCCCCAAATCCGGGTGCCACTGAGTACATGAGCATATAAATGACAACATAGTCTGACTGCTAGAACATTGTCTAGAAAGATAGAACAGTACAAATATGTGAAAAGAATGAGAGTCAAGGTCTGCGGACGCCAAGACAGCTACCTCGATAGTCTCCAAATGGATAAAGCTCTAACCTAACAACCGCCTTACCCGAAAGTACCTGGATCTGCACACGAAGTGCAGAGTGTAGTATGAGTACAACCGATCCAATGTACTCAATAAGTAACGTAAATAAACACAACAAGGTAAAAAAAAGCATAAATTATTAATGATACTAGTTATCACCTGTGTAGTTTCATCCTTTAAATCGGTACAGAATAACATTGAAAACTAACTCATCAAGTTTCGTGAGAAAATATCTGTGTGTGTGTGTGTGTGTGTATAGTTTCTCAAATACTCAGCTCAGACAATATCATGGCATATATAGGTGATATGCAGTTAAATCAGATAAATAATCAAGGAAATGCAAAATCCAACACAACACTGGCCAGATTCCCTTAACTTTCCATGTTCGTTCCAAACCACTGAGCAATATTCTCAATAACCGCGTGTACACCATCAAGAGAAAAACATGAGAGGGTGACCCTAGGGGATGGATCCGTATCCACACGCTGCACGGATAACTCATATGCTAATAATAGAACTCGCACGGACAACTCACGTGCCAATAACATAGATATATAGATCCGCATGAAAAACTCACGTGCCAATAACATAATCCTCCCAGTATGGTCACGAGCCTCCAGTCCAAACATATCATACATGAGCAATTAAACAAGTATACATGTATGTGATGAATGAATAACAATTCTCATACTCCTGGACTGGTATAAATGATATGTTAAAGCGTAGGCATGTGCAGAGTGTGCTATCATAGCTCAAATCGTCAATTTCATCACCGAAAAGCATTTATCAAGTTCGTTCAAGGATTAAACCTCTATGTAGCCCCAAACATGGCTCAAATAATTCACACAAAATGTTACAAATATGAGAAATATCATAGCGTAAAACTTAACAGTCAATCCTAGGATTATAAGAGCCCGAGCACAACCCGAGTATGAATAAATGACATCGGTGCCCGCACATGGATTCATCCCCACGCATGTGCGCACCCAATAGCACGTAGCTATAACAACAATTCAAGCAATTAGTGCCTCATCCGAGTTTTAATAAGATACTTACCTCAATCAAATCAAATCACTCCGCTAGCAAGCCCTTTCAATGCATATCGACCTCCGGAAGGTTTGAATCTAGCAAAAAATAACGTAATACTATAAACAAAAGTTATAGGAATTGATTTCAATTAATAAAGCTACGATCTTTAACTAAGGTCAAAAAGTCAACCCCGAGCATATGTCTCGGAATCCAATAAAATTAATAAAATTCGAACACCCATTCAACCATGAGTCCAACCACACCAAAATTACACAATTCCGATCATAACTCGACCTTCAAATCCTCAAATTAAAGCCTATGAAATTTCCACAATTTTCTCCAATTTTTCCAACCCAAAACACAAATTAAATGATAAAAATAATGATAAATTCATGTATATTAATCAAATCCAAGTTAGAATTACTTACCCCAATAAATTTCTTAAAAATCCCATCAAGAATCACCTCAATCTGAGCTCCCAAAGTCCAATTATGAAATTTTACTCTAACCCTTGTTTTGAAATCTTATATTATGCCCAGATGTTCTCCTTCGCGAATGCGGAAAGTGCCTCGCGTTCGCGAAGCACAAAACTCAACTGCCCAAAAATCCTCTTACACGAACACGAAGGCTCCCTCGGGAACGCGATGCTTCACAGAGCTCTGCCTACGCAAACGCGTCCCCCTGACCGTGAACACGAAGACTTAAGGCCTGGTGCCCAAGCCGGCCTCATCCTTCTACGTGAACGCGAGCTCCCTCTCGCGATCGCGATGCACAATTTCCCCAGACTTTCGCGAACACGGTACTCTATTCGTGAATGCGAATAACAATCTTTACCTGCCTCCCAGATACTCTTCGTGAACGCGAGACCTCTCTCGCGAACGCGTATAAGTAAACCAGCAACAAAACAATTAGCAGTTCTTCAAGGTTCAAAATGTGCCGAACATGATCCGAATCACACCCGTTGTCCTGGGACCTCAACCAAACATACCAACAAGTCCTAAAACATCATACAAACTCGCTCGAAGCGTCAAATCACATCAAACAACACTAAAACTATAAATCGCGCATTGATTCAAGCCTTATGAACTTCTAACTTCCAAAACTAATGCCGAAACATACCAAACCAACTCCGATTAACCTCAAATTTTGTACACAAGTCATAAATAATACAACAGACCTATTCCAACTTTAGGAACCAAAATATGAGTCCGATAATCACAAAATCAACTCTCGGTCAAACTTCTCAACTTTTCAAACTTCTATTTTTTCAATTTTCGCCAATTCAAGCCGAAATAACCTACGGATCTCCAAATCAATATCCGGATACACTCCTAAGTCCAAAATTACCCTACAGAGCTATCAGAACCATCAAAACTCCATTCCGGAGCCATTTATATATAAGTCAACATCCGGTCAACTCTTTCAACTTAGACTTCCAACCTTGGGACTAAGTGTCCCAATTCATTTTGAATTATTCCCGGAACCAAACCAACTACCCCGACAAGTCACATAACAACAAATGAGCATGGAATAAGCAATAAATAGGGGAACGTGGCTATAATACTTAAAACGAACAGTCGAGTCATTATAATTGACATATTACGGGAGTTCATCCTCCAAAATGTTCCATCAAAACTCTAGATAATAAACTAGCTATTCATAAAAGTATGTGAAAACACAATATAAAAATTCATAAGCAACAATGAAAAATAGGAAGAAGAAAGGAAAAAAATTCATGGTTGAATCTTTCTCCTTCCTCCTAGCGTATTCTGGCCTCCTTAGGTGTTGTCTAACCCTAAAGTAATGTCTCCCCCTCTGAAAAATAAGTTTAGAACCCCTTTTAGACATATTAGGGGTATGTAGGGTTGAAACTACCAAGTTCTAGTCGAAATAGAAAAAGTTTCCCAATTCTGCATTTTGTATCGCGCCTGGCGCAAAGCTGGGCGCCCAACTCTGTGTAGTGTTGTCTTTTGCGTTTTGAACTGTTCCTGGCTCAAACTTGGACGCCGAAAACCATACTCCTCTAAATTCTTCCATTTTAGCTTCAATTTATGCACAATCCTTCCATATCACCTCCGATTGAGCTCTACACATAAAAATATCATTATTAAATTCTAGTCACAAATATTTGCATTAAACTTAACAAGGTTGGGACATAATGCAAGACAATTTATATGCAAAAATATGAATTTTTAGCCTAACATTACTACCAATGCCATGTGAAAAATGCAAAGAGGAAAGTTGATAGAAAAGATGAGCAAAAAGGTTGTGTAAATTATGAGGAGCACAAATTTCAGACTTTCTTTTTTCAGATTTCTTATAGCGAGTGATGACCAAAATATATAAAGACTTGAAATCTTGGTCGTTCTATGTACTTTTATCTCGGAGCTCACTAAACAACTGGTTAGTTGTTTTATTATACATACATAAATGAGATTATTATATATTGGTTTGCTAAAGTTTAAAACTAGTGAATAATATCAACATTATGAAGTTAAGTTGGATAATTCATAAGTCATCTATTTAAGTATGTCTCTAGGTGGACCTAATTATTTGAGTATCAACTACCCAAAGGGTACTCGCATTGAGGTCTGATTAAATTTGGATTCATATCAGCAAGTCCCCACATCGGGATAAAATACTCCCAAATAAAGATAATTTCATATTTCGGGTTCGAGATCGAAACCTTCGATTACGAAAGAAAAAGTATTTATCATTCCACCGCAATTCTTGTTGGTACAACAGAAGTCATAAACAGTTAAAATAAGCCCTTCAAACTAATTTTATCCATTTCATATAGTGGTTACAGGTGTGATGGCAGCTAAGCTTACTGCTAGAATATATAGAGAAAGCTAATTTTTTTACATATTTAATAGGAGAGAAAGAAATGATCAATTGGATAACATCTGCGAGGAAAGCACAATAATGAGAACTCTAGATTCTATAGTTCGAATTATAACCTCTTGACAATTTTAATTGTCACTTGGGGACATATAGAGAGGCTAATAGCATCAGAGAAAAAAGAAAAGACAGATAATAAAACTATAGAAAATCTGAACTATGTTGTGGTAATAACTCTTTAATTAGTTCTCTGGTCCCAAATTATTCCTTCTTATTGTGACTATCTGTTGTGTATGGTATCCAATTATAAAATATGAAGGCAACATCCAATTCTCAGACTTAATTTCTTCGTTTTGAGCTTCCTTTTTTTTTCTTCTACAATTTTTGTTTATTCGTGATTTATTTATGGTCATTTTCTAACTTTCCTCTTTTCGATAATTTCTTTTATTAATGGAAGAGTACATTTTTAAAGGAGATACCAACCAACTTTATTTGTGTTTTCGCCTGATCTCTAGTTCTTTCTGTTCAGAACCATACCAACAAAACCCAATAGTAATGCCTCACCTCTGAATTTCTCCTAGTACTAAGGTCAGGTTGTTACACAACTCATCTATAAAGGGGCATAAAATTACTCCAAACCAAACTCAGGCATAAAAAATAATAAAAAGACAAAGAAGCCTTTCGACTTTACAAAATGGCTTCTTTGCACAAATTTTCAGTTCTAGTTACCCTCATTTCGTCCTTCATCTTGTTCATTTCTCTGCAGGTGCAGTGCACTGCACGGGGCGGCGGCGGCGACGACTTGATAATGACAGCTTGCACGGGCACTACCTCAAAACAGTTATGTTTAGATCATTTGAAAGCTGATAAGCAAGTAACAGCAGCAGCATCAAAAGAATTGGACTTAGGATTGGCCATAATGAAAAATCTTATAGGACAAGCAAAAATAACACATGACTATGTACTGAAAAAGAAATTAGCAAATCCAGCATATGGTTTTTGTGAAACAAAATGGGGTGATATGGTCTCTGGTTTCGAAAGGATTTTACAGACTACCACTAAAAACAAAGGGTATGAAGAAGATACTGATGACTATGATTTTATGGTTATTGGTGATTATGTAGGCAACTGTAAAACGAATCTTGAACAGGCAAAAATTGTAGATCCTGAGATTGCTAAAGCAGGAGATATAGTCAAAACGTCCATAGCTGCTGCTAACACAATACTGTCCCAGCTAAAAGCAAAAAACAGGAATAAAGATGAATAAATTATCACCCCTGATGAGGAAAGTGAACCAACTGCATTGAATTCTCATTACTCTCAAATCTTCAACCACCCATGCCCGGGTGCTGTTGTTGTTGCTGTTGTTGTTGTAGATAAATAAAGGGAAAAAAATCGATTCATTTTCATTGATGTCTGTTGCTCCTTTTTATTTTGTTCGGATGGTTGTCTCCCATCGTTTCATAATATATTATTTTATATTGTATTGTATTGTTTTGTTGATATAATATTTGTATAGATTGTACTGTTTATTTATGTAGTTTAAGGAGTAAAAATTTTCGTGTTGAATCTATTGCACTGCTCGATAACGAATAAGTTTACTAACCGTTGTAAATATTGGATTTAAACTTCGTGCACTAATAGCGTATAGATTTTTTAAGTTAAATTTATCTAATATAGCGGGTTCATAGTGAATATATATGATATGGTAACATAGAAATAGAGTAACGACCATTTCAATCTTTGAACTATTTCTCGTCTCAATCCCACACTTTCTATTTCTTTTCCATCTTTTTCATAACTTCTAAACCATATTACTCCAACAACATTCTTATTATCCCATGTTGCAGCTTTACTTCTAACAATATTGACAACTTCTGTGTCAATTGCAACATCCACAAGTACTGAGTTCCCTTAATTGTAGTCAGTTTGATAAGTGAGAAACTGATCCCATATCTGTTCAAGTGTCATTTCATAGAAAATAGATCTCTTCATTTGTTCTTTAAGTACTGTTCCATCTTTGATAAACATGAAAGGACAATACCATTTCCCCACAATAACAACTTCAGAACTTTTACAAGATGGTGTGACATTTAAAACTAGAAGTTGTTGCCTCAACTTAACATTTAGGCCTAGAGCATCATCATTTAGTTCATAATTTTTAAAGTTGTCAACCTTTTCGCCTTAGTGGGTGGAAAACCATGAGGTGCGCAAGTGCGCAAGAGACTTAGCAAAAAGTTTACCTTTGGCATTGTAACATGTATCATATAGACAGATTTCAAACTGCTGATATGCCTCCTCTAAATCTAATTGTCACACCCCTTTTATACCTCCAAAATATATGTGTATGGATTATTATGGGTTAAAGAGTTTTTCCAATTAAAGTGACAAATTTGAGTGGAGATTATTTTATTTACAGAGTTGCCACTTAGAATTGGTTTTTTTGGGTGTTCCAAGTCACCTTTTATTTGAATCCCTAGTCAAAGGAAGATTTGACTCTATTATTATTGGTCTGCGAAAATAAAGTCCGGATAAGAAATTCTTTTGACCGGGGAGAAGGTGTAAGGCATTCCCCGAGTTCCGTAGTTTTAGCACGGTCGCTTTATTGACTACATTTCGCTTGAATTAATTTTGGATAAAATGTGATTTATTGGTTTTCATGCTTTATCTATCCGCTTTTAATTATTAAAATATGGAATTATCTTTGAAATAAATCACGTGTGTGAATCTGTTTTGTTTATTGTGCCAAAATTATGTCACGCGTACGTGTACACAATTAATAATATTTTATTATATTAAGATTGTTTTGACCAAAGTTGCGCGAACACATACTTCAGTTTTAATTTTGAAAATCATAATTATGCCACGCGAACGTATACATAATCGTGATAAACTAATTAAAGCGCGCCTAAAGCACTCTAACGATGTTTATTATTCTTCCTAAATTTTTAGATTATTGCGAGATCATGACTTATGGAATTACTTGTGGAAGAAGCGTATGATTTTAGATATTTGAATAAATAAACCATCATATACCAATACCCTATAGCCCAACAATTGAAGCCCAAACTTATTAGGGTCCAAATCTTCCCAACTTTAAAGCAAGTTTGAATACCATATTTCTAGAAACATACTTAATTAAGCATATAACTTTTAAGGACTAATTTACATTATTATTTATAAAATTTAAAAAAAAAATAATAAAATCACATGAAATAAGATAAAAAGAACAGAGGAAAGAATAAACCTTTAATGCAAAATTTTCAATTAAATGAGTATCCAAGAATATGTACAATAACTTATACGAACGTCTAACAAGTATAAGCGAAGAAGAATATCAAATCAAGTGAACGGAGCTCCAATGAATTCTCGACCTCAACTATTGACTCCACTGTTTGGCATGTGAAAAGGGATGTTTTGAAGTATTTTTTGTTGGGTTTTGGGTGATGAATTGATAGATTTTGCAAAAGAAAGACGAAGAAAGAATGACACAAGTAAAAATTCCCTTAGCGTAGAAGAAGAAAAATAATTTCTACTCAATTTCCTCCTCTCTCCTTTTTTTCCTCCCTCCCCCCTTTTCTCCTCACATTTCTCTTCTATTTATAGAAAAAATTTCAAAATTTTTTCAGATTTGTTTTAATTATTTTTTTATTTTTTAATTAAAATAATTCCCACTTCCCATTTTTCTTCTTTTTAAAAAACAAATAAATTCCCCACTTTCATTTACTTTTATTTTTTTAATTTCTCACTTTTTTTACTTTTTTTTTTTCACTTATTTTACTTTTCTTTTTTTTATTTCCACTTATTTTATTTTATTATTATTTTTAATTTCCACTTTCTTTTAATTTTATTTTTTAATTCCAACTTACTTTTTCTTTTCATTTTTAATATTTTCACATACTTTTACTTTTATTTTTTAAAATTTTTACTTTCTTTTACTTTTTTATTAAATAATTTTCACCTACTTTTACTTTTACTTTTTAATTTCATACTTTTATTTTTCCTATTTTTTATTCCCATCCAAAATTTTAAAATAATATTTAATTTTTTTATTTTAAAATAAATATAAAAATAATACTAATAGTAATAATTGACCTTTTAAATTATTCTTAATTTTTACCCTATAAATAAAATTATAACAAAGTTAAAACAAAATATATTAAATTTCTAAAAATATTTACATAGTAGAAGGTGATAAAAATTCAAATATAGTCAAAAATTAGGTACTCACACTAATGGGTTAGGTTTAAGGGAAAAGGGTCAAATATACCCTTTTACTTTCGGATATTGTCTATATTTAACCTTTGTTATACTATCCGGTCAAATTTATCCCTACCGTTGTACTATCCAGCCAAATTTATCTCTACCATCACCAAACTTTTAAAAATTACCCCTTGATCTATTAAGTAATCTAAAATCTTCAATTTTCTTTTATTTAAATCACTTATTATTTTCTTGCTCCATTATTTCCAGAAATTACTATTGATGTGAATGCTAAAGGTAATAGATTATACAAGTTATTCATGGATATTTTTAATTACCAACGCACCCACTTCTTTTCGTATGATAATGAGTTTGGAATTGGTTTAAAATTTTATACACCGAATAATTCAGTGTGTCTATTTATTGTGTATTATATACAATTGATCATCATGTATGTACATGTAAATTCGAATATATTTTGTTATTATCTGGTTATTATAGAATTCGATCGACTAACTTAAGAGTGCACAGTGCGTAAGCATTTGATTAAAGCAAAATTGAATTCGACAATGTAAAGTCTCCAAGTAACTTCAACTTCTATCACTAATACTTGCAAAGTCTCCATATCTTTTGTGCAACGAATTTATTAAAGGCGAGGTGTTGTAAATACTTTTGAATTTTAGACAAGCTACCTAATTTAAATTCTTCAATTTACTATATTTTGTATACTAACCGATGTATTATTTTAATATTTCTTTCTCTTATAATTTTTTTTTCAATTAAGAAAGCAAGTAAATGTCAATTATTTCAGAAATAGTGGATCTTGAAGAAGCATAAGTGACTTAATTAAAATAATTTGGGAGATTCTAGGCCACCTGACGGATTGAGGGGTAATTTTTAAAAGTTTGCTGATACTAGGGGGTAAATTTGGCCAGATAGTATATCTGTAGGGGTAAATTTGGCCGAATAGTATAACAGAGGTTAAATGTAGACAATATCCGAAAGTAAATGGGTATATTTGGCCCTTTTTCCCAAGGTTTAACTAGGGGTGACAATTTGAGCCCAAACCCATCCAACCGGCCCAGAGATTAATGGGTTTGACTATAATATTTTAGCTCATGGGTCTATTTGGGATGAGCCCAAGTTAACCTATTATTTTTTATAGCTCATTCTCACTTATGAAGTAGTCCAAATACAATTCATGAAACTCACCCCAAAATAAGGGGATCTCAACCCAACTTATCTAGAAATTTACTTAGTTGCCACATCATTAGATTTTGTATCGNCACACCCACACCCTCGCAAAAAAATATTTTTTTACTTTTATTTTTGTATTTTTAATTTTCTGTTTTATGTTTTTTCGTTTTTATTTACCTTTTATACATAGATGTATAAAAGATAAAAGACTTTGTTTATGCAAGATGAGTATGGTTCTAAAACATGGGTCAAGTTGGGCAAGTTGGGCTATGACCCATTGTTTAGCCCATCTTGACCCAACCTATCTTAGCCCAAGTACACTTTGGGCTGGGTTGGGAAATAACCCATTTATTGACCTAACCCATTTTGACCCGCCCAAATTCAGCCCAACCCGTCCATTTGCCACCCCTAGGTTTAACTTCTCCTACACATCTGCAGAAACGAACATAATTGTTTGTCTTCCACCTTTGAACAAGTAAGCGGTTAAATGGCCTACTATTTAGGTTAATACTTTAAAACGAAAGAAGAATTAATTCAAATAGTTGTTCATCCAACCGCTTAAATTAAAAATAGCCGACGGATATATATGTGTGTGTGTGTGTGTGCGTGTGTGTGTAATCTATGTAATGGACAGCCACCCAACGACTTAAACTAAAAATAGCAGGAGGATATATAATATATGTACGATCTATATATAATATGTGTATGATTGTGTATAATCAATATATAATCTATATACACTGGCTAAAAAAAAAATTAAAATTGGTCGGCTATTTGTGTAAAAATAAAAAATAAACGCAACTAGAAGTGTTACTCATGGCATGTGCCGAACTTGAATAAGCATTGAGTTCAATCGATAGCCCATAGATCCGACTGGGCCAAGATCTAGGTCGAGCTGACTCTTCGGCCCTTAAGAACTCACTATAGGGAATCTTACACAAATGTCCCAAATAAGTTCCAACTTACTTAACTCTAGCCATTAATCATAGACTTACAAAAATTAGTCAAACACATATAGAAATTAAAAAATTAAACAAATAAGATTCTTTCTCTCCAAGAATCACACGCAAAGATCTCCTTTCATGTGTTTTAAGCATGATTACCA